TCAGCTTCCCAAAGTGCTGGGATTACAGGCTGAGCCATCAAGCCCGGCTAAAAATTCATTTTTAATCAGACACATATGATAGTCAGATTCTTATCAGTACTACATAAACAGAACAACCATACTAACTGGTTATCATTCCAAACCAAACCAACAGAATGCTTTAAAGAGAGCATGCAACCTCCATGTAGGTGAAGATAGGATTGCTATTAGACTTTTTGAAGAAATAATGATAGAACCTCTGAGGCCACACTATTAACTGAAGACTCAAAATATGAGTATACCTATATGCTCTCAAGTTCATGAAGTTAATAATAACTTTGCTGTTTTATTTTTTTCACTCCTTGAAGTATCTCTTATAAAATAAGAATGTTTTTAAAAATCCTTTTCTCAAAAATCAGGGAATCCTATTGCAAGAAAACAGCATGGTATCTAAAGGAAGCTTTGGGCAGTTAGAAGCTCTGGGTTCCTGTCTAGTTAATAACTGTTCTATGACCAGCTGCCTCTGAGCTCCAGTTTCTTAAACTAAAAAATGAATAGGCTGAACCAATTTATTATAAAACCAAACTTTTTTACTCTGAATACTAAACCTACTCCATATTATTTTATAACTATAAAATCTTGTTATTAGGCCAGGTGTGGTAGCTCACGCCTATAATCCCAGCACTTTCGGAGGCCAAGGTGAGAGGATTGCCTGAGCCCATGGGTTCGAGACCAGCCTGGTCAACTTGGCGAGACCTCATCTCTACGATATATAAAAAAAAAAAAATAAGCTGGGCGTGGTGGCACACACCTATAGTTCCAGCTACTTGAAAGGCTGAAGCAGAAGGATCACCTAAGCCCAGCAGGTTGAGGCTGTAGTGGCAGTGAACGTGCCACTGCACTCCAGCCTGGGTGACAGAGTGAGACTCTGACTCAAAAAAACTCCAAAAAACAAAAAAATCCTGTTATTCTTTTTTTATTTTAAAGTGTAATAAAAAGCCACACTTTTTAGCCACAGAATATGAAACAAGCCTTGACAGCCAGCAAGATGCCATTATACTGGTCAAAGATACTCCAGAAATACAGTTATTTTCTCCTCCACTTTCCCCAATTACAACAAGTTCAATTTTAGAACTTCTGTTCAAACTTATTGAGACTGGGTATCTTACACACATTTATAATGTCTTGGGCATTGGCTTGGAAAGGCAATCCTCTCATGTGGACGAAATGCAGAGATGGTGTAGTTCCAAAATCCACAGCCTCTGGAAGCTTCTCTGACACCTCCTTAGGCAATTCTAAAAGGTGGAACAAAAAGCACTATCAATTATCATGTCAATCCTCAATTCTCTTTGAATCAGTGAAGGGCTTTATAAGTCAAAACAATCTGAAATTGCTGCCACTTAACAAATATCACCTGAATACCTGTAAGCATTTAGTGCCTCAAATCATTACCAGATTAAGAATTTTATTTCCTATTTATATTTTAAATATGAATTAAACCCTAAAAGAGAAGCTTTCTAGGCTACAGGTACCAAAAAAGAAAAAAAATTACAGTGGCAGAATAATCCCAGGCATCAGATTAAAAAGCCTTTTTGTTTTTAATGCTGTCCATGATGCATAAAAAAAGTATCTACCAAACTTCAAAAATTCCAAATATTGCTTTGGGTAAGGAATAAAAAAAATTTTAATCCAGAGGCAAATAAAAATCTGTCAATATTCCTGCTCTCTCCCCAAATCTTTACCCACCTTTATTTTAAATGTTGACATTTTACTTCCTTTTATTACATTTTTACTACCCCGGTTTTTACATAGTCTCTGAAAACTATTAAATGTAAAAACTACCAAAATAATTAAGCCCTTCAGGCCAGGCACGATGGCTCACGTCTATAATCCCAGCACTTTGGGAGGACAAGGTGAGAGGACTGCTTGAGCCCAAGAGTCCAACACCAGTCTGGGGAAGTTGGCGAGAACTCATTTCTACAATAAATCTAAAAAATTAGATGGGTATGGTGGCGCGAACCTGTACATCCAGCTACTTGGAAGGCTGAGGCGGAAGGATCACCTGAGCCCAGCAGGTCGAGGCTGCAGTGAGTACTCCAGTCTGGCCCACAGAGTGAGACTCTAACTCAAAAAATAAATAAGTGATAATAATAATAATTAAGCCCTTCCAGCCGGGCTCGGTGGCTCAGCCTGTAATCCCGCGCCTTTGGGAGGCTGAGGTGAGTGGATTGCCTGAGCCCGTGGGTTCGAGAACCGCCTGGGCAGCGAGACCTCATCTCTACAATAAAAAGAAAAAAAAAAAATCAGCCGGGCATCGTAGCGTGCGCCTGTAATTCCAGCTACTCGGAAGGCTGAGATAGAAGGATAGCTGGAGCCCAGCAGGTCGAGGCTGCGGTAGCCAGGAGCAGCCACTGCACTTCAGTCTGGGCGACAGAGTGAGACTCCAACTCAATAAATAAATAAATAAATAAATAAGCCCTTCAGATTGAGTCTCCAACTCAATAAATAAATAAATAAATAAATAAATAAGCCCTTCCGCATAAATTCAAAGCATATATTACAATCAAAGACAAACTAACCCTTTGCACTCAGTTGTTCACCCCAATTTAGCAAACCACTAGGAAATATAAAGAGATTGCTGGTGATTATATAGAACAAACCTGTGCAAGTGCAAATTTTTAAAAATGTAGTTTCTTAAAGTTTTCCATTCAAACTGCATGAAAAAGCAAGTGAAGAGATGGAATTATACTGAGATATGATCAATCAGTTCAGAAGTTGTTTTCAGGAATCATGAGTGTGTCCATCCACATCATCTTCAAACAGAATGGACAATAAATTACATATTACGAATGTGGGAGGAAGAAATGTGACTGCATTGTCTCTTTGAGTAAAAAAACACCAAGTAGAAGATGTCAAACAAATTACCATTACAAGTATATCAAAGAACCTGCAATTGCAGGTGTTTCTTGTTATCACATTAGAAACATATAAAATTTTGATATTTTGGGCTCATAAATAAGTTCCTGAATGTCCCAAATTCCATAGTAAGTCAAATATCATTACAATAAAATAACTGATTCCAACACTACGCTATTTAATATGAAGTGATTCGTTTTTCACTTTTTTTTTTTTTTTTTTTTTTTTTTAAGTTGGAGTCTCACTCTGTCACCCAGGTTGGAGTGCAGCGTCACACTCATGGCCACCATAGCCTCGACCTGCTGGGCTCAGGTGATCTTTCTACCTCAGCCTTGCAAGTAGGTGGCGTTTTTCACTATTTCATAAAAAAAGTTCAGCTGAGTTGCTGGTAGGTGTCTCCAAGTGCAAAGGGTTAAATCTTTAACTCAATTCCCTTGTCATACCATCTTAGAAATTCATACAACCTGGGCATAAAAGAAGAATTTAACAAAAAGCAAAACACACAAGATAGACCAATGAGTCTCAAGAAGAGTCAGGACCCTACCTATTTCTTTCTCACTTTCAAAAGCTGTCATGGGCCGAATATCCTCATTTACTTCATGTTCTTCAAAGACCATTTCTGGCTCAGTTATATATTTAGCAGTGGGAGAAGATGCCATTTTCTTTCCCTTATGAGAGCCAACATGTGTTCGGACTTCGTTCCTTCTGCTTGGAAATATCTCGATATATCTATGGTCACAGCAAAAGGGAACAGGTACACATGGTACAAAGTAACTTTTTATTGAATTCATTTAAAATAAATATGCATACACTATATTTCTGACAGCTTACAATACACAGGTGTCAAAAATTGGAGGTCAGGGAAAGTCATATATGAACACAGACATCAGCTCATGAAAAAGTCCTCTGAACAGAGTTAGTCACCAATTCAGACTTTTTGCTCCAAGATAACCATTTCCTTCATATACATTTTAACAATATGTTCTACCCTGTTTTGCGTCATGAGAACAACTATGCTAAGACTATATATGGAAAATAATCTGGTATGAAGGCTTTTTTTTTACCAATTGGTTAGCAACCATCTGAAGTCCTGCAATTCAATTCTGTGAAAATCAACTGTATAAGATATTAAAAGCCACAGTACAAAAATAGCTAACCTCCCCAGAACTTCACCAAGAGGCTGATGTGAAGTTAAGAACTAAATGTCAGTTGACTTGCTTTCATAGTGGCAAGGGACTATCTATTAAATCCAAGTGCCTGGAACCAGTTTTCTTTTTCTCAACGCAACTCTTTCAAGCTCAGTTATTAAATGTGAGTTGTATTTACAGACATACTGTACTGTACTCTTTTTTTTGAGTTGGAGTCTTACTCTGTTGCCCAAGGCTGGAGTGCAGTGGCACGCTAACAGCCACCAGAGCCTCAACCTGCTGGGCTCAGGCCATCCTTCTGCTTCAATTTTCCAAGTAGCTGAACTACAGGCACGCACCACCACACCTGGCTTATTTTTTGATTTATTGTAGAGATGAGTTCTCACCAAGTTGTCCAAGTTGTGTACTGTACTTCTTAAAAAAGAACTCTGAACCACTTCTATAAATAGATCCTGAAAATACACTAGCTTTGGAATGTGTGCTAGTTTTTTTAACATCAAAGGAGCTGATTAAAAGACCAGAAAGTTTAGCTGGGCATGGTAGCGCGCGCCTGTAGTTCCAGCTACTTGGAAGGCTGAGGTGGAAGGATCGTCGGAGCCCAGCCGGTCAAGGATGCGGTGTCCAAGAGTGTGCCATGCCCTCCAGTCTGGTAACAGAGTGACTCCAACACAAAAAACAAAACAAAACAAAACAAAAAAAGGCCAGAAAGCAGCAAACCAGTAGTTTAAATGTGGTATTTTTCACTAAACCTCCAAAATTAAAGTTAAAACACAAATGAAGTCACTCATTATTATGTGCATCTTGATGTGATGCGAGCATGAGACACTATACAAGAAAAATAGCCCAATTTTTTCAAAAGAGGGAGAGGTTGGGCGCGGTGGCTCAAGCCTGTAATCCCAGCACTTTGGGAGGCCGAGGTGAGAGGATTGCCTGAGTTCAGGGGTATGAGACCAGCCTGGGCAACTTGGTGAGACCCCATCTCTACAATAAATCAGAAAGTTAGCTGGGCACGGTGGCATGTGCCTGTTAGTTCCAGCTACTTAGAAGACTGAGGCAGAAGGATCCCCTGAGCCCAGCAGGTTGAGGCTGTGGTGACCAGGAGTGTGCCACTGCACTCCAGCCTGGGCGACAGAGTGAGACTCCAACTCAAAAAAAAAGAAAAAAAGAGAGAGAGAGTGGGGAAAAAAGGGGGGGATTTGCTCTAGTTTAAGAAAATTAAGCCGGGCTCGGTGGCTGAGCCTGTAATCCCGCGCCTTTGGGAGGCTGAGGTGAGTGGATTGCCTGAGCCCGCGGGTTCAAGACCCACCTGGGCAGCGAGACCTCATCTCTACAATAAATCAAAAAAAATCAGCCGGGCGTGGTAGCGCATGCCTGTAATTCCGGCTACTTGGAAGGCTGAGGCGTAAGGATCGCTGGAGCCCAGCAGGTCGAGGCTGTGGTGGCCGGGAGCGGCCACTGCACTCCAGTCTGGGCGACAGAGTGAGACTCCAACTCAAAAAAAAAAAAAGAAAGAATATTAGAGACATAACAATCAAATGTGATGTATGAGTCTTGTCTGTATTTTGTTCAAACAAACCAACTATAAAAATTTATTTTTAGCTGGGCGTAGGGGCTCACAACTAATCCAGCACTTTGGGAGACTGAGGCGAGAGGATTATCTGAGACCAGCCTGGGCAACATGGTGATACCTCGTCTCCATAATAAATCAAAAAATCATCTCTGGGTGTGGTGCGCATGCCTGTGCTTCCAGCTCCTTGGAAGACTGAGGCAGAAGGATCAACTGAGCCCAGCAAGTTGAGGTTGCTGTGGCCATAAGCGTGCCACTGCATTCCAGCCTGGATGACAGAGTGAGACTCCTACCTACTCAAAAACAAAAATAAATTAAAAAATAAAAACGGGCCGGGCTCGGTGGCTCAGCCTGTAATCCCAGCGCTTTGGGAGGCCGAGGTGAGTGG